AGGACTGAGGCAGACTCAAAAAGTCAGCGATCAGAACTTGTTCATCGCTCTCTGCTAGCCGGGGGTGCAGCAGCACAACAACGGCTGACGAAGATCGACGGAGCGACCACGATGATAACGGAGTCGCTACCCGTTCCGAACGGAAGTGGTAGACAGCGCGATGTCAGTATAGCACGGCATAAAAGGCTTCAAGATAACGACACCGCCAAAGGGAGCTTAGTCGAAAACTGACTCCTTTCCAGTGGATAATAATTTTCCGCTTCCAGGCAACAACTACCCGGTCGAAGAACCCTGACCATATATTTGTCATACGCCAGATTGCTGAGAAATCGTAGGAGTCAGCGCATCCGGTATACATATGCTTTACTGACCTAGAGAAACCCTATGACTGAATCCCGCAGAACGGTCTCTGGGCATGCTTGCCAATATACGGGATCGATGGACAGCTGGTACGGGCCATTCAATTACTAAATGCTGATAGCAGGTAAATGGCGTTCAGACGAAACCTTTCAGCGTTGGCACTGATCTCCACCAAGGTTGCGTTTTGTCCCCTCTTCTGTTTGTGTTGTACACGGATAAAATAATTAGGAGCAGCCAAGGCGATGAGCGTATCGGTGTAGGAGGTGTAGAGGCCAGAAGGCTGCTGATTCAAGACGACCCTGCTTTATTGCCATCTTCTGAAACTGATCTATAGTGCTCTCTGAAAAGGTTCGCCACCAAGTGCGATGTGTGAAAGTGTCTAAAACGAACAGCCTGGTGCTTCCTGGTTCTCCTACCCGTTGCACTCTTCAGAACGCAGAAGCAGTGAAGCAGGCGGAAAGTTCAAGTACTTCCGGGGTAGTGTCTGCTGCTGATGGAAAATTTGAGGAAGAGGTCGATCGGCGGACTGGAGTAGCCAGTGGCGTTCTACCTGAACTATCCCTAACCAAAGTTTAGCTGAGTCTGGTGACTAAGCTCTCCGTATACAAACTGATCTTCATCTCCATGCTTACTTACGGTCATGGGTCGTTGACCATGACTGAAAAGCTTCGAACCCTGGTATAAGCTGCTGAAATGGGTTTCTGAGACGAGTCGCTGGCGTTACGCGTCTCGATTTCGTTCGGGAAACAGACTCCGTGAGAACCTTGGTGCGCATCCGCTGCTTTTTCAGATTGAGAAGTCACCGTGCAATGGTTTTGACATGCCTTTTTGCCTCCAGAAAGACAGGCGATGCAAATGTTTCCTGCCCAACCGACTGGCAGTAGGTTTAGGGTCGACCAAGATCAATCTGGTGCAAATGTATGGAAAGTCAATTCCAGAATCCAGCTGTCTTCTGCCGAGGCTCAGACTCTGGCACAGGATCAGGAAAGTTGGAAGCACTGTCTGACGCATCTGCCTCCGCGACCCGAAAGCAGAAGCGGTCATGGATGATGATGATGATGATGATGGAGCCAGAAACAACCGCGCTGTTCAAGAAGGTGGAGATGGAAGATTTGAAGAACTATCGCCCAAACTGCCTACCCTCACAAGTGTGCAAGCTGTTCGCTAAAATCATCTTTAACAAGTCAACTGGTCAACAAGTCTGAAGGAACAACAGCCAAAGGAACAAGCAGGATTCCGAAGGAGCTAAAGCACAACGGATACGGATCTTTATTTTAAATCAACTCATCGAGCGCGCGATAGAATGTCACTGACTACGAGAAAGCGTTTGAAACTGTCGAGTACAACGCAGGGTAGATCTGTACTGACAGAACATAGGACCGATATCCGTCAGATGCTGAAGGAAGCGAACTCCGCTGCTTCACAAACATCCTGCGTTCAAAATGCCTGCCCCTCGGGGTTCTCAAAGATAAGGGTGAAAAACGCGGACGCAATCTCCTCCGAACTCTGCACTGCCTGACTGAAAATGGTGTTTCGGAGGATTACCTGGACGAAGTAGATTAACATCAGTGATGAACAGCTGAGGCGTCTAAGGTT